TTTGCGAAAATTTAATACGAAAAAACTGTCAATACTTGGTATATATATTTATTTATTATATATTTTTTTTATTTTTCCAAATTAAAGGGCCCAAGGGAGCATAACATTAATAACAACATGACATAAACATTACAGAGTGATCAAAGAAACATAAAATAATAGTTCAAATGCATTGAGGAAAGGGTCAGTGGTCAAGGGGAGATAATTTTGCTATCTATTAGAGTATTTAACTAATTTTCTGTTTTTCTAAGTTGCAGGCCTTTATCAAGGTATGCACATAAAATAGATAAAAAAAACTGCTATCTTCATGATCCATGTAAAAAGATCATTTCTGTTTAAATTAACTAAACTGGGTTATTTTTGGATATAATCAGTCATATCTCTTCTGAGGTTATTGTAAAGAGGGCATTCCAGAAGAAAGTGCATTTCATTTTCAATAGAATTTGAATCACAATATAAACATATCCTCTCATGTCGAGGTAATATTTTATATTTACCACATACATTGATAAAACGTTCATGTCTGCCAGTTTCTATTATTAAACAGTGATTGCTGAGTCTGTATTTTGTTAACAAATGTTTTTGGGGGTGCTTTAAATCTAAATAATTTTCATAGTCAAATGACCTTTTGAGGACGAAAATACATATAGTATGAGTATAAGTGTAATAAGAAATAGAAAAAGTATTTCATGGATCGCAATCTGAATGCACATTTATTTCAATTAAATATCAAATATCTATTAGTAATTTTCGTTCAATAGAAGTTCTGCGGAATCACTCACAGATTTCACCAATAAACATTGAATTATATGTACGATACGGCTTTCAGAAATGCTGATTTCAAACACTAATCACCGCGAAATAGCGTAAAGCAAACATAAATTAATCAATGAGGAATCAATCAAACTTAATCTAAATTTTAGATATAATTTTAAAATATTATAGCTTTTGAATTCAAAAACAGTTCAATACGTATTGTATTCATATTCATAATTTAATAGACTATCATCACTAATTGCCTGATTTGAAAATAAGCGTCCAGTTTTAAAATTTAGATATCTTTTTATAAAGATAATTTTAAAATAAAAATATTTTCTTTTAATTGAACTATTCAATATTTTATTTTACAGCAACTCTGAATAGCAGTTGCTTAAATTTTTTAATTTACTTTATTTATATTTCGACACAGAAACTAATTTTTGAATATTATAATACACCTTATCGCTATTTAGTCCAACCCGGAAAAACAGTCACTTAGACAACTTCCTGTTTGGGTCAAGTGTCGCAAAAACAAAGGTCATCAGTAACGAGCTGAGGGAGGAAAAAGTTTAGAAAGCAAACATTTTGAAACTTTGATAGATTATGATCCACTTTTTTAAAACACAAATTAAAATCATAAAAATGCTTTGTTTGAAGTGTTTACGATGGTTTAAACATCGTCTCTTTGAAAAGTTTTATGCATAATGCATTGTTTAAACAGGGCCCCAGATAGCTTCATCTGGACAAAAAAGTTGTGTAATTTCAGAACTTATCCGGATTGGGATAAAATAGCTATAAGGTGTATTCGTATATTGTATAGAATCTTGAATAAATCATTTAGATGTAGACTATATAATATATTCGTGTGGTCAATGCATTAACTTAATGTATATGTTTTTTACATATTACATAAGCATTGGACAGTCATGCCATGTAGTATAGATGGTGCTGCGAATCTTAATATTTGCTAATAAATTTCTAGATCGTGAGATTTGATTAAGTTACCTTTTCCATGGGGACTGAACGTGCTCCATTAATTCTAGATATAAATTTAGTTGGATGATCGAGATTCGACGCAGACGAAATAGCTGTCACATTTGATTAAGACCGAATTCTATAAGGAGTATTGTACGGATTTCAAAAATGCAAATTTATTTCAAAGATATATAAGAATTCTTATAATAATAATATAGTATTTTTTTATTTTATTTTTTATATTTTTTGTGTGTTTATTTTTGCAATTTAAAAGTTAAACATATAATTGAATGAATAAAATAAATATCACTATAAACAGGGGGAGGTAATCGTAATATTCACTCTAACCTGAATTCTAAAAAAAAGAACATAATAAAAGAAGTCTCAGCTCTGATAAAAGAACAAGTCTAAATGTTAATGTATTTGTTTCCACTCACACAAGGTCAATATCTAATTTAATAGTTGTCAAATCTGAATCAGTAGAAATTGAATATTAGATATACTATATATCAAATACTAAATTATACAAATTATTTCATTAACTAATCACAGTATTACACAGTATTAGTATTATTTTACTTGTTCTATTAACCAGAGATCATTATTCCACTGTTTAAACATATTGATAGTTTAATCAATATTTGATTGGTTGAGACTATCCAACGTGTCATTGAACAAATCTTCATATTCCATTCTGAGGATCATATTCCCCTCTGAAATGTCGGGATTACTTCGTGCGACGTTACGCGCGGTTAATGTAGATCAATGTACATAACTTCTTATTATTCTTAAAATAGCGATAGCAAAAATCATTATCATGTTCAAATTTATTTCAGACGATAAAACAAAAAGACTTATATATAATTAAATTTTGATCCTTACTGTTTATCAATAGGTATGTCGTGTTTAGTTTGACTTACAAAAACAAGCGGATAAGAAAAAAATGTATGCAAAATAATATCTAATGTATTGATAGTAAACAAAGCATAGGCAGTGGAATAAAACATTCATTTCCCTTTGCCTCGGGAGATATGAAGATTTGCTCACCCTCGAAAAATCATATTTCCCTCGGACAGAGCCCTCGTGAAATATGAATATTATAGGGTGAACAAATCTTCATATCTCCCTCCGGCACGGAAAATAAATGTATAGTATTCGAAATGAAAATAATTCTTTTTGAAAACACTTTTGAAGATAATCTTTTTGAAGGGAGTTAGTAATAAATATAATCTCGGAAGAAATGTCTTCCTGTTGATAACATTAATTGATCATTCATTCATTAAAGGCCGAAAATTGCGTCCGAAACATGGAAAAAAACCAACTTCTATAAAATACGCATTGGGGTACCCACTTTATGGATTATAGACTCTGCTCTAATGAATAGATATTTTCGGCCTTTAAGAATGCTTACCCAAGAAATTCTTTGCTATATCGTTGTAGTACTATCCAATAGCTATTTATTAAAGCAGAGTCTATAATCCCTAGCTATAAGGAACTGCCGTGACAATGGGTTGGAAAGTGGGTACCCCCAATGCGTATTTTATAGAATTTCAGTGACCTTTTCCATGTTTCGGACGAAATTTTTCGGTTCATAAGAATTTTTTTACCAGAATTCGGATACTATCATACTGTTTTATAGATTAAAAACTGGTCAAGTAAGAATTTCAAAGTTGCTTATTTTTGTTTGACTCAATATTGTGTGTTGTTATGCCGTTAATTTTCAAAAGGTCACAACTATGAGTTTTGATGTAAACAGAAATTTTATTGTCGGTAATAGATGGAACGATAAGTTAAACATCGATTTTATACATTTAAGTCGTAAATATGGGTTACAAAATCGTAAATGTGAATAATGAAGTTGAAAGAAAAAAAAAGTATTTTCGTCATTTTATTTTTCAATGAATTCAAATATTAAATTCTTTATTTTTCAGTCAAAAATATGAGTCAGGAAATCGCAAAAATGAGTTCTGAAGTTGTATTGAAAAGTTAAATAGTCGGTTTTACATGTGAAAATGAATTTAAACCGAAATTCTACATTTTTGAGTTGTTAATATGAGTAAGAAAATTGCAAATGTGGGATAAATAGGCGTAAATACGAATAATATCAAGGACTTAATATATTGCAACTTATTGGAATCGTCAACACGATTTTTCTTTTCAAATTGCTTGTCAAAGAACCGTAAATATGAGTTACAAAATGGCAAATGTGAGTTATGAAGTTTTAAATAGATGTTGTATTGTCGGTATTTCATGAGAAAATCAATTTTACATAAAAAAAACTACATTTTTAGTCGTTAATGGGAGTTTAAAAATCGCACATGCAGGTTCAATATGCGTTAATTCGAATCACATCCTGGACTTAACAGATTATACTTTGTTTGAAGCGTCATCACGTTTTTTTTATTGTAAATTCTAGTTACAAAACCGTAAATATGAATTAGAAATCTGTAAACTAAAGTTAGGAATTTGTGAATGGGATATACAAATCTTTGATTTTCTATATAAGTCCTTTTTTCGAATAAAAAAAAAGTCAAAAACCATGATTTTGAAAAAAATAAAATTGTCGCTCAAGTAGTTTTCCAAACGCAATTGCAGGATGACGAATTGCAGGAGAGCTTTTTAGCAATAGAATTGCGGAGGAAGAAAATTGCTGGATAGCTTGACACTAGTAAATAAGATTATTAACCATGTATAATTGATTGGTTGATTATATTTGTTTTATGTCCAGTGGCAAATATGTCATGCATATTCGGGAAACTTTTAAATGAACAATTGAATGAAGACAGAGTTTATATATATAAGTTCCATATGTACTTTGCAATAATTCACTTAATATGACATATTAGTGTAGTGTTACGTAGTATGTAACGGAACGGATATGATCTCTCCTCCGGAGATTGTAATTCCATGCAGGTGAAGTTTACACCAGAAAAAAAAAACCGTTTCAGATGCAACTAGTTAAAAAAAATTCTCGAGCCTCATTGCGAGATAGCAATGAAATTTATCGATCATATAATATCACTTTCATGATTTTGCATGCTAGAAGTGTTTGAAAGGTAAACAAAAGTGACCGATGCGATGAATTAATAGGAATAACCATGATCGAGGGCCTGGATGGTGATTTTGTCATTTCTTTATTCTTGAACTAAAGGCGTTTTTTCTTTCTTCTTTATATTTTCCGCATTTTTCTCTATTTTGTTTGGCCCATTATTCAGCGTTCTCTAAAATTAATCCTTACCGTCGGCCATGTGATTATTTGTTTTCAGTTCACATTACCAGCTCTTAGAAAGGTTCAGGGATGCATCATAAATATTGCCAGTTTAGTAGCGGAACTAGGAGACTATCATGGGGTTGAATACAGTGCGTCCAAGGTTTGTTATATACACTCTTTAATTACTGGTGTGAAGTGTGAAGTGTGAAGTGTTATGATTTATGTGCTTACTAGTATTCTCTTCCATTGGTGGTGGTGTCATCGCGTGTGTGTGCATTATTTGGTGGTTCACAGGAAATAAGCGAGAAAATTAATATATTCAATCACGTAGTTATTCCAAAGATGCAAAACCATATTATTCATAATATTTGAGTGAATATTGTTTGGCAATTATTTGATATGAGATGTAACGAAATAATATAATACATGTAGTTATAATGATAATGATAATAATAATACTAATAATAAGAAGAAATAAATAATTTTGAACATTTCTTCTACACGGCATTTGGTCTCTGGTGGAGAGCTGTCTCATTGGGAATCATACCAAATCTTCTAATTTCTATATTTAAATCACCATACTGATCAAATAATATTTGTAAATCAAAGAATTTCCTACACTAAAGTTTATCTTTTTTAGGGTGGCATTGTTTCAATGACAAAAGCACTAGCCGTTGACGAAGCTGAACATCGTGTTCGTGTTAATTCGTGAGTACTTTTTATTAGCTCACCTGGTCCATAGGGCAACAATAGGAGCTAGGTAAAAAGTATAAATTGCAAAAATAATCAGCATAAGAACTGCATACACTTACATTTTAAGACCTCTCTTGGAGGTATTGCCTCTGAAATGTTGATTTTTACTGTTTTTTATGTTGTCTTAAAACTATAGGATATAGGTTAAACAGGTAAATTGCAAAACAAATCAGCTACTATGTATGTATACAAGCCCTCATTAGCAGACTAACTACCTCTTGTTCACTGATGTACACATAGATGATGCATTTATTAATAGCTATATTAAATATAAAAATGTCACTAAAGTTATGCTAAAATAACATATAGCCGTCTCGATGGTCCGTAAGGCGTGCTCGCCGATCAATACGGGAGCTCCCAAGTCGTAGAGAAGTAAGAGTGATCAGTGACTGGTCGGCTCGTAGTATGAATATTGTGCACACTATCAAAATAAAAAGATATGACCTGATTGCAAATAAGACAACTATCCAACAGAAACCAAATGACGTAGATGTAAGCAACTATAGGTCACCCAACGACCTTCAACAACGCGCAAAACAAAAACCGAATTGTAAGCTATAAAAGGCACTGAAATGGCAAAATGTAAACCAATTCAACAAGAAAACCAGCGGCCTGATTTATGTTAAAATAATAAACAAAATACAAATATGATAGACAACAAACAACGAATCACTGAAAAAACAGACTACAATTATAGTGACTTGTCTATCTGTGGAATGCTTCATTGTGAGCTAGCAAGTTAAAAGTCCGACTCAGCATATCGGTTTTATACAAACCGAATATTCATTTTATCTTATGGATGCATGTTTGTTAAGGGACATCTACATCAATGGAAACGTCATTTTAGACAAACTATGTTTAAGATCATCAGTGAAAGCGTCACTGTTAGATAAACTAGGTTTATCAACATTAGTGAAAGGATCACTGTTAAACAAACTAGATTTATCAACATCATTGAAACACTGCTAGAAAAAACTAGATTATTAACATCAGCAAAAACGTCACTGATAGACAAAATAGGTTTATCAACATCATTGAAAGCGTCTCTTTGAGATAAACAAGTTTTTTTTATATCAGGGAAAAAGTCACTGTTTGAAAAACTAAGTTCATTTACTTCAGTGAATAAAGTTGAGAATGGAAATGGGGAATGTGTCAAAGAGACAACAACCCGACCAAACAGCAGAAAACAGCCGACGGCCACCAATGTGTCTTCAACACAGCGAGAAAATCCCGCACCCGGAGGCGGGCTTCAGCTGGTCCCTTAACAAAATGTGTACTAGTTCAATGAAAATGGACGTCACACTAAACTCAAAAACACATAAATGAACTAAAATAAAAAAACATACAAGACTAACAAAGGCCAGAGCCTCCTGACTTGGGTCAGGCGCAAAAATGCGGCGGGGTTAAACATGTTTTGTGAGATCTCAGCTCTCCCCTTATACCTCTAGCCAATGTAGAATAAACAAACACACAGTAATACGCACAGTAAAACTCAGTTTAGAAGAAGTCCCGAGTCCGATGTCAGAAAAGGTAACTTAAAAAACTAAGCAAAATGACAATGATACATAAATTAACAAGGGACTACTAGCAGTTACTGACATGCAAGCTTTTTCATGATTTTGTAGGAAAATGATTCATTTTGACATAAGACTACGAAAGACATGATTTTTATTGTTGTGAGAAGTCCACAACATGTAGCCAGCCTTTGCCTTTAATTGAATGAACGCATGGATAACTATTTGATATATATTCCTTTTGTTAGACGGGGATGTTTAACGTCCTACAAAGCAACTTAATGCTTAAAATTGTAATATGATATAATCAATGGGGTCATTTGTTGAAAATATATTTTACATTTTTTTCTTTTTGGATCTTCAAAGATGCTTTGAAGCGGTACAGATTTTACCCTGCTTTGATTGTAATAAAAATACCCATTGTACACAATGTGACTCTTTCCAAATAACACATCATCTGGAGCGGATCCAAACAGCAAAACAGTTAATTAACACCACCAACCAAATAAAGTATGACTGGTGTAGTTGTTTATTCCAGTTTCATCATATTCATAGCAATCAATAATTATTTCTCAGTGTGTCTCCTGGAAACATACGTACTCCACTGCTGGACTATATGTGTTCGTTGGAACCTGACCCAGAAAAGGCGCTAAAGGACTGCGACAACACGCAGGTTTGTTAATAAACAGTAGAAATTCCCATGGGTTGTTTTTTCCTTTTGATAATTGTTGTAGACGTCGGTACGTGATATTTTTTTATTCCCGTTTTATATTTTTAGTTATTTTGTTTACTAGTATATCATATGCATTTGGAATATGCAACAATGTTAAAGGGTTAAAGCATGAACTTCTTTAGAAATTATCATTGTCCCAGTGAGGGATTGAACCCGTGATTACTGACATTTCTCTATCTCTATCAATTGAGCTAAAAACTCATCAAAGAGCTAAATGTGTAATCTTATTTTATAACACAATACATGGTGGTCGTATATAGATCGACTTGGATACAGGAAGTACTTTTAAACTTCCCCAACTTAAAAGTCCTTTAATGTTCTATCTTAGGATTGCTAAGATGTCCTTGCCAGGGTAAGCCACAATTCTACCAAAACGAGACAAAATGTGCACGGTGACTGATAGTGCCGCTAATGAAGGACAATAATACATTTACTAGTTCAAGGAAATCATCGCTACTTCACTCCTCATCGAGAGCATTTATGCCATAATGACAATGTCCAACATCAAAACCTTGATAAACGCAAAATAACTTTTAACCTTCTTTGGGTTTCATGCTTGAGCACCGAATAAAATGTTTTAAGTAGACCACAATTTTCTTCCAAACGTACCAAATTTTTAAGCAAAACAATGTCCAAATATCAGATATCATGATATATAAAAGTTGATGTTATTTTTTTTTCTTCTTGAATACAGATACTTGGAAATATTGGAGAAGGGCGGGATATTGCCATGGCATGTTTATACCTAGCAGCTGATGCTCCGTTTGTAACAGGAACAAACCTAAACGTTTCTGGTGGTGCAGAGGTCGGATTTGGAAACAAAAGTGAACCATGTGTTTGACTGCAGTTATACTTAGAGTCATTTCACCAGAAGACTTTGACTTCTTTATTTTAAACTGTGACAAACAGTGACAGTACATGCTATCCGTCGACAATTTATAAAATTTCATTAGACAATATAAACCTCCAACTTAAACTTTTGTTCTGCTTACTTGGAAGTCATCACCGTTTCAGAATTTAAATTCATTGATTATACGTCGTTGTGTTCAGGATGTCACCCAATCACATAGTTTCGGTGAACGTTTCTGAAATTATTACCTTACATTTTGAACAGATAACCGTAATTAAGATTAACTCATCATTGATACCTGGATTAAAATTTTGTATGCAGACACGAGTGTCGTCTACAAAAGACTCATCAGTAACGCTCGAATGAAAAAAAAAATAAAGAGGTCAAATAAACTACGAAGTTGAAGAGCTATGAGGACCAAAAATTCCGAAATGTTTTGCCAAACACAACTAAAGCAATATATTCCTGGGGAAGAACATTGAATATTAGAGTACTCGAATATTTATCTTTTTCTTAATTACCAGATTTGAATAAAAGAAGATCAGATACATGCATATTAGGAAAAGCTTAACATATCGACGCAGACGGTCTCGCTCCGTATGGAGTTCATTCGGTTCTCTGTTTTCACCCTTTTGGTTTGCTAATCAACCTGTCAGGTAGTCTGAGCACTATATTTGATAGGCAAACAATGTTTTGATCATAATTTATAACAACCACGAGATGTGGTATAATGATGACAGCCATTGAGTCAACTATTATGAATTTAAATGACTTAGTTTGTATATCTTTTCAGAAATGTTTTGGAAAGATAATGGCAATAGAAATTACTTTAAAAAGAAGTTGTAACTTCTTGTAAGGTCACCGTGATTGATTGGCAGATGGGAATTTCTTAACTGAAAGAAATATACATATGCTTATGCATTACTAGGTTATAATCGTAATCTAGATATTTAATGATTATTTAGATTTGGAAAAGTTCGGGAAATTTGGATTACCGTTCGTAGATTTCGGTTTGTATGGAATTTTTCTATTTATTAATAACTGATTAATAGTCGCACAGTTTCGGATTACAAATGACTCGCAATTATACTCTTAAACTCTATTTATAGTTTTTCAGGAGGTACGTGATATTGTTTTCAAAGTGGCACTCGTTCAGTAATATTTGTTCTTTGGCTGTTATTTGGTTAATACTGTTTTTTCCCTTCGATATCATTACATTCTTAGGGATATTATTTCTGCAAGGTAACCTCTAGTCGTATGATTTACTATGTTTTTCTCGCTTTTTTTTATTATTAGTACGTTTCATTGTTTAACGTTTCTCCTAATATATATTATTTACTAGAATAAGCATTGACCTTCTACCATACTATTCTATGTCAGCATAAAGGCTGAAAGAAGATCTATTATATTTGAATAAATGGTATCATATTACTCTAGTGATACTATGAATTAGTTCGTATCATTTGTTGAAAGTATCTTCTGTCATTGCTACAATTTTTTTTTTAAACGAAGGTCTATATTTCACCATGTTTTAATGACCTTCTTACACCAGTGTTTGTTTTCTATTTCTTTTTCATTGTCAATATTGAACATTTATAGGTTCATAGAAGTTCAACTTCTTAAAAAAGAAAAAAACTGTTGTGGTAAACTATTTCAGATCCTTATTCTGAACTCCTGGTATAAATTGAGTTTTCAATGTTTCACGTTTACAGATATATACTGTTGTGATTCAAAACAACAACTTTTCATTTCTTAATAGATAATAAGAAAAAAATACATCAACATTATGGAAACATACAAATAGGTCTGTAAGCTTGTCTTTGAAATACAAGCTTTCAAATAAAATATTTTGGGTTGGAAAAAGATGTGTCGGTGTTCTCCATGAAATGTATGTGAAGAAATAAATATTACACTGTAGGAACAATATTATAAGAAATAACAAGACGTTTCAAGTATTCTACTGAAAATGTATTTTAGAAGCACATATTCCTAAATAGTGGGAAACAGAAGGGTTCGTGGCAAAGATTTTTAAATGCATCTATATACATAATAATAATAATAATAAAAAAAAATGGATGCCAAAATATATATTTAAAAAAAAAAAACATGAAAATTTGAGAGTCAACATTCTAAGGTTGCATTGTCCTTTAAATAATTGGTGAAGATGGCTAACTTTGGTGCATTCTGTTAACACGTGTAGATTTGGGTAGAGTATGAGCTTGGCATATGGTATTTCCACTAATTGAAGAACGCAGTTGATCTTTTTTCTGTTTTGATTTTGTGTTACTGTGTCATGGGCTTACGACCTGAGCAAGGTTGTCTGATTGAACTTTACGTCTATACTACAGCTCATGTGGATTTTGCTTTGTCCACTCGTCCACAGTGGGAGTGGGCACCGGGTGGGCAAAATTTCTAGATTGTTCACTCTGCCCTACTATAGGAGTGGGCATGCAATTTCTTTTGTTGAATCAAAAGACTTGCAAGTACAATTAATTGAAAAAAGTAGATAAGCATTTGTAATCAATATTTTTTACCAAAAAACAAGAGAGTATAGCTTGAATGGGCACAGGTGGACTGTCCACTGTGGACAGATGGAAAAAGCAAAATCCACAAAGACTGTAAAGTTCCAATGCTTGGCACAGGACAAACTTAGTAAAAACCTTAAAGTTTAAATTCTAGGTTTTCTGTAAGTGTTTCAGTAAAGCTGAAATAAATGTGTCAAATTATAAAAGTAATTTATTGAATTTGATGGATGCAATGTGTATTAACATCGCTTATATAAGCATGTAAAAGCAAAGTCTTGTATGAAATAAGGGTTTTTTTCCTGGAATTTTTCCCGATTGTGATCATTTGGTTTCGTAGACAAAACTCTACATTTTCGATCAGTTATTGTTCTACATTCGGTACTGACATGAATTATAACAATCCTTTCTAAAATTGTCCGTTTATAAATTTTGAAATTATAAAGAAACTAAGGTTTCAACTCCCTCAGGCAAAGTTGGCCTTAGATGGATTTGGCTATTTTATTAGGTTATTTTTGGTCATATAGCTCTTCAATTGTTTCGGTTCTTATACATCCCTCGGATTTCAAATATTTGGCTTTGAGCGTTCCTGAAGAAGGTAAATCCAGAAAAGCGCTTCGGACGCATGAAATTTATATAATGTGTTGTTTTCATTTTATGAGATATATTTTTATCGAATATCAAGGAAATTTGTCATTTGTTTGTCTCAGAGATGGTAATCTCCATCTTTAATATCGATTTTTGCATTGTCATTTCAGTTAATTTAATTCTGAGTGGACCCATTCGGATCTTTGTAAATTATGCGACGAGGTCGACATTTTCCACATAGTACATGTTTGATATTTAGTGAAATGATATAATGGATTTTTAATCTATGTTTTAAAGCAAAGATAAATCAACCAACCTTTAAAAACAAAAGAAAGTGAAATTGTCTTGATAGTTTTCAATTACATTTTAAAACTTGTTATAATCAATAAAAAGGACAGCAGGAATCAACTTAAATACTTGAAAGTACAAAACATTACATAATAAAACACCAACACCGGACTTTTAAAAATACACCATACGTACAAACATAAACAACAACGAACAGCATATGGTCCTGATAGCCTGACTTGGTACAGGCATCAAATGTGTTGGGGTTTAATTAGTATGTAATCATACAAGTTTCTGGATTGTCAAAACGTGATTATTCCTCCTGGAAGTAATTGTTTTAAAATCGCTAGTCTCTATTTTGTCAGTTCTCTCTTATATTCAATAGATTGGTTGTTAATTTGGTAAGGTTTTCATTGAAAATTGCCGAGATCTTAGTTAAACTTAAAAGAATTCCCAAAACGTATGAAATGTAGTATTTAGTATACGAAACCAGGGGGAGGGAATATCGATTTGTGGTTATTGCCTTTTGAATGATAGTACCCTCTTTTTCGAAAATTAAAAGATTCATCGTGAACAACGTAAGCTTAACTTTTTTTTGTGAAGAAACAAATTTTCAGAAAAAGCAAATTTATACTGAAATATACTTCATTGACGTATACGCTACATAACTTTTTATTCATGACATGATATGATTAGTTGAAATTATAAGGGTTGGAAATAGGTAAGTTTAAGGTTTTATTGAATGACCCTACAGAAAAACATATTCCTAATTTACGATGGGTATTTTCCATATCCAACTGAATTGTCATTATTCGCTGATGTATTTTAAATGTAATACGATAATTGCAACAACACAAAGATTTTCGGTAAAACAAAAATCTATCTGCATCTAAATATCTTTACTTATCTGATATTCCACAAGGAATATCCCGTTCTTCAGTTTTATGTAATTTTGTAACTCTATTACATCGAATATATACATTGTTTTACATTTGTTATATCGGAGCCTTTTTTAAGCTGACTATGCGGTATGGGCTTACTCATTGTTGGAGACCGTATGGTGACCTATAGTTGATAATTTCTGTGTCATTTGGTCTCTTGTGGAAAGTTGTCTCATTGTCAATCATTATACATTTTTTTATTTATGTATTTATACAAAATGTAAGTTTAACGTCAGAAAAAGGATAATAGCTCATTTTCTATATCACGGTATAAATGTTAAAAAGTCAACATCTTTCGAAGTACGAAATGTCACTGGTTTGATTAGTAAACTCCTTGCTAGCTGCGAACAGGGAACAAGTGCCACCGGTCATCCTATTTAACCAAGACAACTTTCGGTTCGTCTGCAGAAAAGGGCACATTCCGTAAGTGACGCTGTGTTCAAATTTTTGACAAGACCTTTAAAGCCTTCTCTGTTTGTCTGCATGCAGAATGAACCTAATTGACACAAAATTTTCTTTATTACATTTTTAAATACTGACATATGCATTTACCGATGTGAACAGGATTGTGGTTCCATATATAATGACATATAACGAAACAGATACTATGACTATTTGTATACGAAAATAATCCAAGCTTGAATCAATGTAATTAACAATTATAGCTGGTTCATTTTAAGTTTTGTTATTTCTTTCGCAAAATCTGCTCCACCAGGGTTATGAAGAAGATAGACTGAAAACGGCATTACAAAAGTTTTGTGGTCACCATTTCAATTGAATAACCTCA